AACAGAAAATATTCAGAATGTTAAGATGATGTTATGCCACAGGAAATGATTACAAATCCTCTCTTCAGATCACTGCTGTCCAAGAACATTATCTGTGTGTGTACCCCCTCGTAACTATAGGTTTTATGACGGAACACTGATCAAATACGCGAACTTCATCTGTTCCAGTTCTAGTAATAAATTCTTCATTCAGACTGTCCTGCATTTCTTTCCTTACAGGTATCTTCCTCAGCAACACCCACTTAAACTTCTCGGTGTTTCCTAAGCTACATTTCCACTTTTTTACAGAAAATCGAAGCTGGTTTCAAAGAAATTATGAACTACTTCAAAATTTCAGTAATTTCCCTGAATCTACCAACTTTGTCAGTTGCTTTTTGACATCAATTGTTATGAAAAGTTCACTTTTTCTGGATTCTAAATTGTTCACTATGTTCATGGCTACTTCTGTAGCTGAAATTTTATCTTTCTCGATTAAAGTAATGTATGTCTGGAATGTTTGACACTTGAGCTTTAGCAAATGATAACCACAATTGCAAGCAGGGATCTTCAAACAATTTCTACAACATAACAGGGCACTTTTCTTGGGACAAAAAATATGAACAAAGTCCATTAAACATACTTAAAATTCTGTCAATTGATGGACCCAAGGACAATAATCTTGTATTTCCGTGCTCCAATAACTTTGCATAATTGTTTCCTGCAAAGTCACAAAAGTTCTTAAGATTTTCAAACCTTAAGGTATATATATGAAAATATTTATACACTTTGACAGCAAAACTTTCAGTGTCTATTGGTAAACAATCTGCTGCACACTGGACACAATTGTGTATTATGTGTGCCCCACAACCAATACCAACAATTTCTCTCCCAAGTTGAATTTCCAATTTTCGTCATACATTGTCTTTACCAACTCTTTTGCAACCACCAAAATTAGTGTTCGTGTTGTCTGCGCACAATGGAACAATCTTATTTTGCAAAGCAAATTTATCACTCACTTCCTTCAACATGGCACTCTGTAGGTCAGATCTTTCTCCTGGCAAGGAAGTAAAGCTTATAATTTTTACGTGAACACCACATGTTGGCAAAAAATACCGCACAAAAACAGGAACAAGTTTGATGCATCTAAACTGATGGTAATACTTTTAGTTTCATTCAAGTCCTTAATTACTCCATCCAATATGTATGGCGATAAAACATTGGTTAATATCGCTTCAGATTTTGTTCGTGCTGACGAAAATTTAGGTTCATAAATCTTCTTTATTAATTTAGATAAACAGTCATTTGCCCTAAAACTTTGGTTGTGATGCACAGCATGATAGGCAACAAGAGCTTCGCTTGCCGCAATTTTACCGGCTGCACCATCACCACTTTCAACAACAATGAATGAGCTGATAGTTTTGCACTAACTCAAAGTTTTTTTCACTATCCTTATGTTTTTGGCTAAGTAGATGTTGATTGATATCGCTTCTACCTCCGTGAGCAAGGGAAAAATGGATGTTGCAATGTTGGCATATGACTTTCGTACCATCATTACACAATTTATCCAATGTAATAAATTTAAATTATTTTTTAAGATAGTCGTTGAATGTGGACTTTCGTCTCTTTGACATTTTGAAAGATTCTCAAGAGCTAAGAAAAATAGAATAGAAACTTGCTGCTGACTATTGACTGTTCAGTTCACTCTACACTGGCAGAACAAAGACGAAAGCTAAGCGAGTCGCCATGCCACAGCCTATGCAATGATGCCCAGCGTGCCCTATGGCAGCATGGCTGCACATGAGGGGTCAACGAACTCACAACTGTTGCCAAAATGTTACATGGTTCTTCTTAATTTAAACAAAGTCCTTGCAGATATCGAGCGATGAATTTCTATGCACCGATGATGATTCATTGAATCATAACTTATGAATGACCAGTATTTAAAACTTATTTTTTATTAAAATGGGACAAAACTGACATTTTTATGAAAACGACGTGATGGCCAGAAAACATTAAAAAAACGGTATGTATGGTCAGCCTAATTAAGGCACATACTATACATACTATATCAGCACACTAACACATTTTATATTTGCATAAGCATCCATACATGCACACACTCCACAACTGATACAAATAAAAATGAAGAATTAAATTCATGAGAAGTCATGAACACAAAAGAATAATAAGAAAACCAATGGAATGAAAAGAAAATGAAAACAGTGAAAAGGTAAATACATATCTCATGTATACTGACTCTTTAGTTGCAATTTTGTCACTTACATAAAAACTATTTCCTCTAATGGATCAGAAAGTTAACAATAAAAGTAATGCCATTTTTAACATTATTTTAAATATGAACTAAAATATCAGAGTAATGTGAAATAATGTGATAAGCATTACAAAGTTTTACATACACAGGAGCAAAACATGCATGCTTTTCTCGGCAAAAGTCAATTCTGTGTTTTCCACTGCATGTTCTGGTGTTCTTTTTCCAAATTGTATTGAAAACACCACATTTACTATGATGTAAACAATTTTTGTTATAAATTATACATATATTTTATTAGGCAATTGTTTGATTGTATTAGCAAGATAATTTGACGCACTTCTGTATCTATGCTTCGCCCTCAAATGGATGTGATGGAACAAGAAATTAAATTAAAGTAAAGTAAAGTAAAGTAAAGGATCAAGAAGGACCAGAAGGTTCTTGTATATATTCCAAATGGAATAAAGCATAAAAACATAACAAATATATGACTGGAGCATAGGGTTTACATTTTCAGTTACACTTCTTCATCTTAACACTTAGCTGACCGGTGATTTAAATATCTAATTCGCCCTGGGGACCGGCATTTTTAAACATACTACCCTAACTTGTGCACTGTTCACTTTAAAAATTAATATAAAATCTCCTAATTAATTTTTTGAACTAAAATTTTTGGAGAACACTTACCAATGCTCCTAGAAGTGCTTGAGGGTGTGATATTTCTGGAAACTTTCCCCTTTGTGAAGTGGCATTACAAAGAACTTGCAAATGTAGACATACTCCTTTTTTTGTGAACTGTGCAAACACGGCATTGCCTAGAAGTATTCTTCCCCTTGGAATGTTCACTCTTCATAATTTTCACGAGGGTATTTTTCCGCATATCACTTAAGAGTCGCCCTGGGAGGTCCACATGAGGCCTTCGTGGGATGGGAGTTGATGGGCCCGGTCGTACTAAGTCTTTGTGTGACCCTGGTTCTGCCGCCACCATCTGGACTGTAGCCCAGGCCTTTACCACATTCATCAGAAATGCTTTGTATTTCAATTTTGAATCAGGGTTTAGATTTTTTTTAGATTTTTTGCTGTCCCCGCAATGTTACTACACGCAATGTTATTACCCGCATTATCGTCGGAGCTACTGTCACTTTTACTGTCTGTGGCCACAATTCTTTGTTGTCCCCCATCACTGTCACTGTCTGAATGACAATTAATCCATTACTACGCGTCTCACAAGGCAGGTCAGCTAGGTCATCGGAGGAGAATTTGTCCTTGATCCATTCTCCCCACTAGCTACTGGCTGATACACACAGCTTGAAGAAGGCAAAGCATTTTCCTTTATAGTCGGTTAAGTAAACAGCGAGGTCAAGTTACTGACTGCTAGCTAAACATTCCAGAGTCTTATCATGCATCTGCAGGCGGTTGCGTGCAATGTAGGTGGCGCCAGAGCACTGTATAGTGTGTTGCAACTTATCATGTTCTAAAAGCCTGTTAACACGCGAATGGTCCGCCATGTTTAAAAGCGAAAAGCCTTTTAAAGGGTGCGCGGTCCACAAAGTGTTAAATGGAAGGAAGGATAGGATATGCTTCCAGTATCATACCACAAATGCATCCATATCTATTATCCCTAATACCCCCAAAACAAATACATGAATTTTTGTGGAACTTAGCATCCACATAATGCCAATGGGGCAAGCTGAAGTTCCTACACGTTAATTTCTTGTTGACAGTAATGAAAAATACTGGCCAGGGAAGTCTTTGAAGTAAGAAATGTCACTTTCTTGACTGATGCAAAATAACATTATATTCATCCATACCTATTTCTGGTTTTCCAAGCGATAATAATACTGAAGTAAAGCATTATATTTAGATTGTAAAGAAATAAACCTATGAATTTTGTATGAAGTGGTTTCTATATGTTAAAAATTATAAAATGTGACAATATGAAATTTTGAGGTTATATCTGCAACCACCACATTGTGGAAGCCCATTCTTTTCAAATAAGTATATCTAAATAAATATGGTAATTAACTTGTATAGCTGTTAAATTAACTCCTGCTAGCCTCTCTACACAGAGAGCAGCACTTATGGAATGAGAACATTTATTTCCTCAATAAGAGTTTAATTATCCAGTTACAATGAGATTTTAGCTACAGGTACATATATTAATTGGAAATTTAATCCATTTAATTGAAAGCATATACTAAGCTGCATCAACAACTGTTTAACAATAATGATAAATGCACAGTGGAATGGGACAGAGAGTGAAATGAACAAAATGTCAAAGATGTAGGAATTCTTAACTGTGAGAATTTATATACACTTCACTTGTTACTATCATATAACTTCATTAATTATTACCTGAAGGTGAATTAATTTCATAGAAAGTTTGTTACAGTTCATACTTGTAATAACAAGAATAGCAGATTTTTCTGTAAATGTACAGAACTTGAGCATCTTCATTGACTCTATAAAAGCATAGAATTCTGAAGTTTTAATGGCAGATTTCATACATCTGCTATTAATGACTATATTACGGTAAATGAATCACTACGATCTGTCATACGAACAACAAAACAGATCAATGTTTGGATCTGAAACGGAAATCAAAATGAGTGGCTAAATTATTAATGTTACAAATCAAGAAATTATGAAATATAACTTACAATGAAACATATTCAATTTGCTGGCAATCAGAAAAGTTTGAAGAATCACAATGATTTTAAAGGGTATTGAGATAATCTCCATCTCATCTTACCCGGGCCCTTCTTCTGTGCCTATCTTCAACTGGAAATCAACAGAGTTATGACTACGAGGCTTCCATTTCAGAACCTCGGAACAACGACCTGCGACGTATGGCTAAAAGAGAGCAAAAACAACATTTGTAGGGCCACCCACACATGCACTCATATATATTAATTCACATCATAATTCATTTACATTCATTTCACTTTCTCACATGTGTGTTACATATGAGAAAGTACTGTGATCCCTGACATCGATATTTTCATGAATTTACACATTTTCGGCTCCTATGATTACAAAGTGATTTCTGGAATTCTGTCTGTCTGCATTAATGTGTGTCATGCTAGCATTTGAATGGCTACACAGATTTTATTCATATTCAGCATAAAAGAATTTATCTACCATAACAATGCTTAGTAAATGTGAACATTCCAGCTTCAAAAACAGGACCCATTCAGAAAACAGCTCTAACAGACTCTCATCAAACTCATTATCTTCAGGAAAATAACAGTATATGCACAGGGAACCAAACACGAAAAAAAGGCTTTACCAGCCAAATTGGATTTCACTGTTGTTCAATATTCAGCAACCGGACATGATTAATCAAGCAACAATCAACTTAATTTCCAAGATAATGTAGTCAAGGTCAATCACATATGAGAAAGCATGTGCAGTGTCTTGGCACTGACTTCTTAAGGTTTGTGAAAAAACTGCTGATCTCTAAAAGTTTCAAAACTGTCCAACATAGAAAATACTGCCGACTACTTCAACTATCAATATAAGCAAAATATTTTCTCCAGATAACTGTGTATCCCTACATGGAGTTTACAGGTAAGAAAATACAGCTTATTTCTTTGTCCTTCTTTACCAAATTTAATTACATTCTGTACCTCATATTCATCATATCCACAGGCATATTCCCGAATCTACAACCTCAAACTTCATGCTACATCCATAGTGCTCCTGTGGTATACCATACTATTCTGTCAGTAACATTTGCGTGACTCCAAGATTGTGCTACAGATCATTACATGTGTGAATATCACCAAACAGTACTAAATACTGTAATCATTCAAGCCTAGGGATACATCAAATCTGCATTTCATTAATTCACTGATAATAGCCAATTTAATTTAAGAATAATTAATATTCTTTGCTGATTAGTAGAGCCACTCAGTAACTTAAGACAGAAATGCAATCAACATTGTTGGTAATTTGTAGCTTAAGTCTAATTTATAAAATTAATGAGTAACATCAAAAGAGTACAACTAACATGTGTAGTAAATTGTTCTTGGAAATTTGACTTTCATCACACAGACAACACCATTGATGTAGCAAGTGTTAATAACATGTATTTCAAGCTGAGGATGCCAGACCATGTGTAGAATTAATGAGCTATTCATGGCATGATAGCAATTTGATACCCAATAGTACTAAAGCAAGTAATTGATTTGCCAATATAAAAATTAAGGACCATCTCAAATTTAAAAAACCAATCAGGAGTCAACTTGTGTGGAACAGAAGCACTCTGAATTTTTGTAGCGTCATGACACTTCATCCATGAAAGCACTCTGGTGTAGATCTTCAGAATGGATGAACATAAAACACTTCATCTCCATAAAGACTCTGCTGTAAGCCTTCAAAGAGTGCAGACAAAAACTCAGGTTCAAAGTTCCCAAAGTGTACAATGCACACTCTGTTTTTAAATGAATTTAAAGTTGTGAATGGTGACTTATATACATGTGTAGTACAAAACAATACATTGTGACTGTGCAATTATCAGAACGTAGGTTAAGAATTACTATGTTCCTCTGCCTGCCCAAATAAGGCCTGACAACCCTGAGAAAACTTCCTGTTCATACCACAATAATTATGAGCTAGTCATCTAGCAGGCAAGCCAGTAGAAACAACAAGTGTCAACAGTATCCCAACATGTGGCACAGAACTGTATGGATGTGCAACGGTTATGTCCTCCTCCTTTCTCTTCATGTTCAGATCTGCTGATTTCCCTTTCAGAGTGTTAATGCTACACCAACCTGCTCATACAGGGGGAAAAAAACTGTGGTTTTAGTCCGCAAGTGAACTATAGCGACTGGGCGACTGCCGCTCGTTGGCAAATTTAGTGCCAACTTTAGCAGATAGAGGGCGTTGCGTGGTCAGCGCAACAAATCCCCACAGCCATTAATCTCAGTTTTCTAGACCAGAGCCGGTATTTCCTTGAAATAGCTCCTCAATCATCCTCACAAGGCTGAGTGGACCCTGTTCCAGACTAATTATTTCTCATAAAATCTGGTAGCTTTGGGAATCGAACCTGGGACCTCCGGATCTGTAGCCAGGAAAACTGACCACTAGACCACAGAGGCAAAGTGAATTATGCAATGAAACATGAGATTCAAATCAGAAGAAGTCTGTCCACCATCTAGGTCTCTACATATGGATTCATTTTCAACAGAATACCATAAGCTGAAATGTATGAATTTTCAAACTTTTTTTAAAACTAATCAAGGTAATTCTGTAATTAGACTGAAATCAGAACAACATTCATATTCCTACAGAAGATAATCTTACATCCTTGGAAGGTTGGAAGATGAGGCCATCAGGTTCATGAGACAGCATTTTGCTAAATTTGTCACTCAGCAAGCTACCAGCCTGTGTAATATCCCAGAACTGCTTCAAACGTACACTGAATGGTTCAGACGACTTGTCAATACGACCCTCCTTCATGGCTTGATGTCTTGGCTGAACAATTTCTTTCTGTACAAAGCAACAATTATTTATTTCAAAAACAAGCAGTCAAAAGTGATAAACAACAATACAAAATATTCACTGTAAACCATATTTCCAAATAGCGGAAACATATTTACTATGAATCTTGCTTGATATTTGGTGACTGAATAACAGTTCTCAGATGCAAAACAATTAACTCATTTTTTATTTCATAAGCTGCAAATTATGTGGAACAAACCTACCACCAAAGTCAATGTCAATGAGAAAATCAAAACTGTGGGAAAGTAGAGGAAAAGGAGATGAAGAAGGCAAAAATTTCATTCCCTCTTCCAACATAAATGCTGCATTTCTTCGTATCTCACATCAGTAGTTATGACGAAATATTCCCTGCATCCTGAGAATGGCGGCAATAAGTGAACAATGAAATATAACTGGAACTTACCTCAATACACCCAAGCCTTACAGGATAAAATGCAGATCTACCAACATCACAACCATCAAATTTGATAATATCATAGGCCAAGTATCGAGGAATGTCTTGCCCATTCACTTTATCTATAACCATTTCCTAAATAAACAAAAAAAAAGTGACATTTTATTTAGATATACTGCCTCTCTATACATTATAAGAAAACAAATTGAGCTCTACTACGTAACAACATTACGACAGAAATGAAACAACATTCTTTGCTTTGCTACACCAACAAGACTGCACACATTTCTCTGCCAGTCTCATATTCCTGTATTGGATATGACTAACCATGAATAACATGGCAATCATAGCAGCCTGGACTAGTGCCTCTGCACCAAAGATGATTGACTTTGATGACATAAACACTCCAAATACAGAACTAAGGCCACCTTTGAAAATGGCACAGAAGCAATAAACGATTACTGGAGTTACTAGGTGGTTCAAATATGACTGGGACTGATTTTTTGTAAACAAGCCACACTGCGCAGCAGCTGTGCGACCTTGAGAGATTGTAGCCACAACCTCCACTCTCCCTCCTGTTACGGTTAGAACCTGTTCAGTGCAGTCTGGGAGTTGCTAGAGGGATGAGCGTACAGAAGGTACCGCGGAGCGTGGAACAACGCATTGTGATCAAATTCTTCGTTGGAGAAAACGTCCCGTCCGCTGAAATTCACCACAGACTCCAACAACAGTATGGGGAAGAGTGTCTCTCATGGACCCGTGTGTCTGAGTGGTGTAAGTGCTTCAGAGAGGACAGAGAGCACGTGCAAGTAAGTGTTTGGCAATTATGTTTTTTTTTAATCAGTCCCAGTCATATTTGAACCACCTTGTATTTCTATTTAATGAATTTACTATAATTGAAAAAATGGACAGACTATGATTAATTAACATTGCAGCATCACACTCAGAAGCTTCAGCACAGGTAATACCAAAGCCAACGATGGGTTATGATCCCAAGTCAGTTCCATCCAAATCCAGTCTTAACAACTTATCTCCCAAAGTTCCTCTTTTAATGCCATCCTCCTAGCTTCTCTGTCTCCTGGGTAGACATTTCCTAAGTGGTTTCCTTACCAAAATTCTGAATATCTCTAGTCTCCCCTCCATGCAAATCCACTACATTCTCCTATATTTCATTAACCTAACAATATTAGGTGTTATAATACCCCGTCCAGAAGAGTGTTGACTAAATGTCTGTTGAGGTCCTTTCTGTGTGGAAACTTCAATCCAGATACTTGGAAAGCACAGTTATCTCGGTCAATGAAGTATATTTCATGCTCTTGCAGAATCAGCATCATATATCTGTAATAAAAATTTGTCATAGATTTGGAAGGGCAAACAAACATATCAATGTATCTGTATCAATGCTTCAACCATCGTTTACTAGGCAATGCTTCGGTAAACACCACTGAAAGGTGGAATAGCAATGAACAAGCAGAATTCCATTTGCTAGGCAACAGCTCACTAAAACTCATTCTCATGTCAATAAAGATTCAGCAAAGGTTTCTGTGGATATGAGGAATCTTGGGATCACCAGGTGTTTCTACAGTGGATACAGGAGACCAATAGCTTCTATTCAGTCCTCCTGAACTTATAAAAGAGAGTTCATTTGTGAATTCAATTCATTCATAACATAATTCAGAAGGCAGTTCAGTAGTTGAATATTCAGCTGTGGAGCGTTAACCAGGTAAGATTCGTTACTGGGAAACGACTAGTAAGCAAACATTGAAGATTTTATTTAATGTGCTATAGTTACAGTAATCTAGAGAGTTACAGTTCAGCAGATAAGTTTTTATGTTGTTCTATATCCATGCTGTTGTTCAGCATTTAACTTTGTTCGTTTGGGTACACTATTGCAACTATCTTATTCTAACTGCTTCCTTTTCCTGTACTCTCTCATATATGCAGCATGACTATTATCAGCGGACATCTTATCAGTGCATGACGTCATACGCTGGCAGCTTGCCTATAGTATTGGGTCATACACTAAACAGTGGAACTGAATTTGCTGTATTTGTCACACACAAGTAGTCATAACTCCTAAACTGTAAGCCATAGGACAAAACGGATTGCATTTTTGAGAAGCGCATATTTATTTACATATTTCACTTGAAATATGCCCAGTTCCATCTATGTGCTTTGCTGAGAACATTTCCAAGGTAATTAAGTCAACAACAGAACATCAATTACTTAGTAGCGAAGGTATCAATAATCACAAAATGTTACACTTAGCTGAGAACATTTCCGAGGTAACGAAGTCTACAATACAACTTCGGTTACTTAGCAGCAAAGATATCAATAATTACAAACTGTTCAATTTCTGTTACTTATGGCTTCATTCCATTTGCACCCTCATATAACAACATTTTCAACGTTAAAATTTAACTTGCCTTGTGCCATCAGCTTTCCAAGAAACTCTGTATGGTTTCTCACTCAGTAACTTGATATTGTGTGTGTCCATTGATACAGGCTGGCAGCCAGGAAAACCAGTGCTGTAAGTAAAAGAAATTGTTCCTCTGATTAATTTTTAACTATGAAGTTATAATGATATTTTTGTGTTAGGTGAGTCCCTTGTCACCACGGAATGGCATGTCCTTAGGTGGTGAATGGAGGAGACGGCTTCCAGATATGGAGGGTAGCTGCAAATATACTGAATAAGTAGTCATGGACAGTGGACAGCTTGGGGTTGGCTGTGGGGCTAACAAATCTCCACTGTAAAAAATAAGCGTGTTATGGAAGATCACAAGAATCCTCAGACCTGGATGGATTCCTTGTATAAATGATCTAAGTGAAAGAAAATGGATATGAGATTTGGCACTTGGAATGTTAGAAGTATGTATATGGTAGGTGTGCTCAGGGCAGTGGCAGAAAAACCTTCACAATATAAGTTATATTTAGTGGGAATACAGGAGGTCTGATGGGATGGAGGTGGCACTGATCCAGCAAGAGAATATACATTTTTCTATGCAAAAGGGGAATGAGAGTCATGAATATCATATCAGCAGATAAGAGGGTAGAGTCTGTAACAGGATATCATACATAATACTGTTACTTTTTTTTAAATCTCCTTTATTGACAATCAGATACTACAATCTTTTAGTCAATTTGCTGTCTTGTGTACAATTAGTTAAGAACAGTACACTTCAGTGGCTTGAGTGAGTCACTTCCATCGACGCGGCCCTCAGTTTTTAGGTCTTGTGGCCACTTTCGTCCAGTTCTTCTGTGGTCGTGTTGATGTAAAAGTGGTTGGAGCAGTGGGTTGGGGTGGTTAGCTAATTTGTTGAAGTGTTTGATGCTGTGTTCTTTGATGACTTCTGTGACATATGGAGTTTTGAGGTTGGTGTGAATGGTGTGGTTAGACATGTACCACGGTGCGTTTACGATGAGACAAAGAATTTTTGATTGAGTTCGTTGGATGAGATCTATATCTGATTTGCTGGCGCATCCCCAGAGTTGGATTCTGTATGTCCATATTGGTTTGATGACTGATTTGTATATTAACAGCTTGTTGTCATTGGATAGGTGTTATTTTGTTCCTATGAGCCAGTATAGGTCTTTGATTTTTTGATCCATTTGTTTTCTTTTCGTGAGGATGTGTTGTTTCCAGTTGAGCTTGCTGTCAAAGGTAAGTCCAAGATACTTTGCCTGATCTTTTTGTTGTATGGTAGTGTGGATTATTTGAATAAGAGGGCATTTGCCTTTTCGAAGCGTGAACGTTGTTTGAATGAATTTTGTTTCATTAACCTTGATTTTCCATTTTTTTAGCCATTTTTCTATGAGTATGAGGTCATTCTGTAAGTTAGTTGCTGTGATGGGATTATCGTGTGTCGTCAGCAAATGTCCCTATGAGTGTTTTATGGGATATGGGGAGGTCGTGGGTGTAGAGCGTGTAGAGGAAGGGGCTGAGCAGGCTTCCTTGTGGCACGCCTAAGAGGACTGGTAGTCTTCTTGATCGTTCATTGTTTACTTTAACTACGAAAGTTCTATCACTTAAGTATGAGCGTAATATAGGGAAGTAGTGTGATGGGAGAAGTGTTTTTATTCTGAAGAGTAATCCAGGATGCCAGACTTTGTCGAAAGCCTGGGCTATGTCTAGGAATACTGCAGTACACTATTGGTTTTTGTTCAGTGCTTGATATATGGTATTGGTGATGCGATGGCTTTGTTGAGTGGTTGAGTGCGCTCTACAGAAACCAAACTGATGGTCTGGGGTCCAGCTTAGTGGATTTGAGTCTCGGTTGATTTTGTTGAGAAGTAGTTTTTCAAGGGGTTTTGCTATTACTGGTCCCTGAGGGAGTAATAACATGGCCATAAGAAGACTCAGAAGACTTAGTGTGTGATGTTACATGTGCTATAGTTACAGTAATTTTGAGAGTGTAAGAACTAATTATGGTTACTAGTGAAGATCCAATAAATCGATTCATCGATCCAAACCTGTCTTAGTGACGATGACGCACGTGACAAAGAGGTCACTGGTGTGATATCATAGTTCTGAATGTTCATGCCCCAACACAAGATAAAATTGATGATATGAAGGACAGGTTCTACAAAGAACTAGAACATGTATTTGATAAATTCCCTAAATACCATATGAGAATTTTGTTTGGAGATTTGGAGATTTCAAACCAACAACTGGAAATGAGAGTTTACAAGAAATTAGTAATGATAATGGAGTTAGAGTAGTAAACTTTGCCACATCTAAAAATTTTATTGTCAAAAGTACCATGTTCCCACATCATAACATTCATAAATTTACTTGGAAATCTCCTGATGGGAAGATGCATAACCATATTGACCATATGTTGATAGATATGAGATGGCATTCAAGTACACTTGATGTCTGATCTTTCAGGGCAGCAGATTGTAATAACGATCACAAATTTCATATGGAGAAGTTCAATCTCAAGAAATTAAATTAAATCAATTAAATTATTATTATTATTATTATTATTATTATTATTATCATCATCATCATCATCATCATCATCGAATAACCATTCGAAATGTACGTATTTTATTTTTCTCGCCTGTTAAGG